TCATGGCTGTTTAATATGTATTTCTATAAAAATATATTTATATGTGTACGTACAGTATATTATTATGTATTCTATCCATTACCCTAGTATCCCAACGACAAGCCTTATAGTGCTTACTTTGGGGCTAGACTAATTGGTGTGAGTGTTTAAAATATTTATTTTATTATTTATTTATTCAATAACTTGAAGAATAAAATATAAAAGGTCCTAAAGTTATACTAGTATAGTCGTTGAGCGATAAGCTGCTGATTTATGTACGTACAAACATTAACGAGACAATGCCGCGAACTTGCTAGATTTACGCAGCAGTTCACTAACATGCCATCTACCATAACGACTGTCAATCATAAGTAATCATAGCACGAAGATGTTTGTTAATTTCCATCTATCGCATCGGTAAGTATCATATAATTTATGTAAGGCACTTGACAGTTATGGAACATGCGTGCGTCTGTGTTCAGGTGGTTCAGGTAAGTATTTAATAGAATTAACGTTCAATTAAATTGTTAAGTTCTAGTATTTTTCCTGTTATATGTTTATGTAACACATTCAAATGTTCAGCTACATTTTCTTATCAAAAGATTTTTTTAGGAAAAATTCAACTCTGCTCAGGTACTTAGGCTGGAAATTTTTCCCTAGTGATTTCCCCTAATGAACTAACTAAAGGATAATTTAAGTAATATAATTACAACAAAACGCCTTGTTAATTTTGAAGAATTCTATTGTATGATTTATTTTAAATATGTGCGTATTCTGGAGGGGAGATATAATTTGAGAATTGCATGACAGGTGAACGGACATTTTAGGTACTTCGTATGTCTGATAACAAAATAATAGTGGTAGTCCAGTCATTTAAGCTTAAATTAGATAAGAATCTTGGAATTCGAGATACCCAGCTGTAAGTCTGTAAATACTTGTATATTGACACCCTAAAAGTTGTCTCAAAACCTACATATGGTAGGGTGTACGCAACTATTAAATTTCAAGGTCAAAGGTCACAAAAATCGTCTTTTTGCGCTTTTTTTGTAAATATCTCATTTCCTATGGGTTTTTTGCTATTTGTATTTAGTATCAATATTGTAGAATACAAAATTCTCTACAAATTTTGTTTGAAAAAATTTTTCATACGGTGAACCGTTTTCGAGATAGAGGGCGGAGAGCGCGCGGTCACAGCATCACTTCAGGTCAACCGGTGCCTCCGGTCAAAAACGCGCCATATATAGTTGATGAACTATCGATAAATCAATGATTATAAATATTTGTAAATTTTTATTAACTATTATATTATATTTTATCATTTTCTTCATGCCTTAAATCTATATCTATTCAATAATACTGATCACCGTTTCCTAAAATTAAAATAATAATGCTATAATGCTCCGAAATCTGTGAAAAGTCTCGATCATCTTCGTTATATGCATTACGTCAAGTCTACAAAACTTAATAAACCTGTGCAGCTTTCAAATATTCCACCAACAAGTGCAGCTGCTCATCAACATTTCGAACGTGTATATTATCAAGTTCAAACTTGGTTAGGGCATGATTTGGAACCCCAGGTATGGGGTTGGGCAATGCGAAACGATTTTCTGGAGCCTATCATGACAATTTTACCACCTGCTCCAGAACATTTGCTAAATACAATTTTCTGCAACTGCAAGAGTGGTTGTAGTTCGCGATGCGGATGCAGGGCTTGCAATGCTCTTTAGCTTGTGGCCAATAATAATAATAATATAATAATAATAATCTTTATTTCTTCTTCCACAATCTACAAATTCTATGACAACTTATTATACTTTAATTCTTATATAAAACAGTAAATAGATTGTGAGAGACTGGTGCCTGAACTAGGCAGAACGCCTGTATCTCAGAGCACCAGGACTCTCCCTCCCCTGGAGAATGTACATTGATCAAATTATAAGGTCATTGATCTTACATATTAAATTGTAGGTATAGGAAGAAAAACATCTTAAATTACAAAAGTTACACGACTACGCTTTAAATAAGAATAAGTACCTACAAGCTTTGATTAATATCAAAGCCTACAAGTAACAACTTGCCTTAATTTTTAACTGTAACAAGTGTGTAAGCATATTTGGTACTTCAAAATTTGAAAGAATGAGAGAGATTTATAAGGTTAGGCTTATTTATCTATGGAAATCCAATAAATTCTCAGTTTCTATGTATGTTTGAGTACGTAAAAATTGAGTAACAAAGACTTTACAATTTCTGTTTGTGTAGTGGACAATGTTTAATTTTGAGTGGAGCAGATTATAGCAGTAAGGGCCCAGAAAATAAAAGAAACGATGTGCAAAAGTAGTTCTGCACCGAGGTGTGACAGCTACAAGATGATTACGCTGAGCAGAGTGCAGGGAGGGATCCACCGCGCTGTGTTGTTTAAGAACAGTATTAAGTATAAACAACTGTCGGACGTTTAAAACTTGGCACATTTGATAAAGTTCTATAGTTGGGAATAAAATAGGTTTCTTAATACATATTTTAAGTACGGCTCTTTGCGCACGTTCGAGCTTTATTAAGATCGATTTAGAGGTACCTCCCCATGAGGTGATGCAGTATGTTACGATGGATTCACAAAGGGATTTATACACCGATAGGACCAGACTCAAATCAGCTACATGACGGAGATTTTTGAAGACGTACATTAGTTTGCGTACTCTACCTGCAATGAGATCCACATGGGCAAGGAACGTTAGCTTGGAATCCACAGCGACACCCAAGTATTTAACAGTCCCACATGCCTCCAATGGAGGACAGGCACATGGATTTATTGAGGGGTTAGGATGGTAATGGGCTATTAACGATAGATCCTTAGTCATTTTAGGTGGATTTTTTTTAATTGACATTATCATATATTGAGTTTTCAGGATATTCAAGGTCAGGAGGTTATTTCGGAGCCAGCAGGATACCAGATCGAGACCATACTGTGCGTGACTGAAAGTCTCCTTCCATGAGCCAGATGAAAAAATTAGTACGGTGTCATCAGCATAAGAGATGATCTTGCAGTTGGGAATTTGAAGAGAAGACAGATCATTGATATAAACTAGAAAAAGTGTTGGGCCAAGAATACTTCCCTGCGGTACTCCGTATTCTATGTGACAGTCAGAGCTCCTGATACCATTTACAGTAACACACTGATAACGATCAGTGAGATAGCTACTGAAAAGCGATAACTGTCTGCCTCTAACTCCCAGTCTTTCTAGTTTTTTCAACAGGATGGGAACTGAAACCGTGTCGAATGCTTTAGCAAGGTCTAAGAATACGGAGATAGTTTTTCTGTTCCCATCAAGGTTTCTCGCTATATGATCAGTGAGTTCATGAACGGCATCTGCCGTAGATTTACCCGGAGTAAAGCCGTATTGTCCAGGAGCCAATGCGGATGTGCTCTTAAGGAAGTCCATTAATCGGTTATTGATTAAGCGTTCCAATATTTTGGAGAGTGCTGGTAATATAGAAATGGGACGATAATTATTCGGGCAGTCCTTTTTCCCTGACTTATAAATCGGATGGACAAGAGCCTTTTTGAAGGCGGAGGGAAAGCAGCCAGTATCAAATGCTAGATTACAAATATAAACAATAAGAGGTATGAGTGTATTTTTATAACGTCTAATGAAGTTAGTGGAAATATCATCCCATCCAACAGCACAGTCGACCCTTAAAGACATAATGGTATTCTCAACCTCGTCCATCGTTGTACTTGATAGCACAAAAGAATTTGAAGGGGACGATGAAAATGTAGGTGATGTCAATGTGAAAATGGGATTCGGAGTAACTACAGGGGGCGTTTGACTATTAATATCTTCAGCAAGTTTTTTGCCGATATTGGCAAAATAGAAGTTTACGTGATCCACCGATTGCTGCTGTGAGTTTTTGCACGTCAGTAATTCACTGGAGAAGTTGTTGGGTTTATTAAGGTGAGCAACATCGCGAATAGCGTTCCACAACTTTTTGCTGTTTGTCCCTGCTCTCCTTAACAGATCTTTTTCGTATGTGTTTTTTACTTTTTTTAATAGTGAATTACAGAAATTTCGATACCTACAAAAAGTTACTCTAAGAGTTTCATTATCTGGATTAGATTTCAGACGTTTATGCATGGAGTCCCTGTTTTTAATTGATCTTAATAACCCAGGGGTTATCCAGGGTTTTAAGATTTTGCGGCGACGTGTGACTATAATCTCATTGGAGTGTGAATTGATGGCTGCCTGAAGTATACTTATAAGATTTTCAGTGGCTGAGTTTACGTCGGATGAGTTTAGAACTGGAGAAAAGTCTGTTTTGCTAAGGCAGACGGCTAGTTCCTGATGATTAATTTTCTTCACAGTATGAGAAACTTTTTGAGTTTTAATTGTGTTAAGAGATAGGAGTACGGCATCATGATCAGTCACCGATGAGTGGATTACAATAGTTTGCGCTGCCATCTTAGATTTTAACATAACATGATCGAGACATGTGTGATTCCGGGTGGGTATGTTATGCGCAGGCAAAAGGCCATGAAATGCTAAGGTGTTTAAGTAATCCTCACAACTAGGGTCTTGCGTTGAAGGGGAGATATTAATATTGATATCACCCATTACTATAACGTTTTTAAAATTGCTTAAGGATGTCAAGAGTGTATTTAAGGAGCGAATAAAGTTATTGGCATTTTGGAAAGCACAGGGACGATAAACAGCTATCAGAGCAGTATCATTACCAATTTTTACCAATAAGCTGCTGCATTCATCAAGTTGTGGTTCAGATATGGAGATACCTCTGAGAGATGAGCTGTAGTAAACCACGATTCCATCGTTTTGATTGGAAGGATTAGAAGATGTATGATAACAGTACTCGGGTAGTGTGGGGATCATCGGATTTTTTTGGAGCCAACATTCTGTAAAAACCATTATGTCCACAACGGTGTTTAATTAGGACACAAAAACTGTCCAAGTTAGCAGATATACTTCTAAGATTCTGAGTTATAATTTTTAACGATTTGTGATTTGATATTTGTCCGTACACTTGATTTGGATCACATACATGAGAAGAACTAACTGAAACATTGTCCAAATTTGTAATTATATCTTTGGTAATACTGAATTTTAAAACTTACAAGTTAAATAAGGAACAAGAGAAACGGACGTACACCTCAATAACAAACAATTTTCATGCAACAAACAGTTTTGTCCAAACATTTTAACAATGCTATTTCGCTTTGACGAGTATGATGGCTGCCTGAAGTATACTTATAAGATTTATACTATGAACACAATTTCTTTATTGGTCAATTTATAATAAGCACACAACTGGTAGTAGTGGAAATTAAATTACATAATCATGTGAACAAGATGGTGCCGCGGCTTGTATTTGTTTGTTTTAAAAAAGTATTTAACATTGTTATTTAATGTACCCGTGCGGTATTTCAGACCTGATTGATGTATCATAATAATAACAATATTCAGTACATTTAAAAGTGTAAAAAGATCAAATATCCTTGTTGCATGAACATTGTACTTATTTATGTACGATTTGTGTACAAAAATATAACCCGCTCCCCCATTTACAGACACATTAGAATTAGCTACCTGCTTTGAAATTGATAGCACTGTGGTTCTATACGAACGTATCCAGCAGCTTAATTTATTCTTCTGATTGTTTTTAGAGTTATGAGCTTTAATACAATAGATATGTTTGATTATTATACAATTCATGCAGAAAGATGACAAATACATTAAAAAACCAATATACTTAAAATTATGCGTATACATAAAAACATAAAAGGACACTAATCTTTGTATAATATACCAGATTATTATATTTTTACCATGGTAAAACAATAAAAAAAGTTTCAAAGGAACAGGGTACAATCGGTAGTTTTGAATGTCACAGAAGACAGACTCTAGTTTATTTATTTTACCAACAAAACATCCCAACGTAAAACACGAATAGTATTCTTCTGAAGTATATTGAAAGAACAGGTGTAGTTTATTTGTATCTATGATATAACCATTTATAAAATATATAAAACAAAATGCAGGGTAATCGTGTGCACTAAAGAGGTAGAAATGTGTTTTTATACACATTTTCACTTTTTTAATTATTTTTTTATATATACTATATAACAAAAAAACGTTGAAGTATAACCTTAACACTAACATAGATTTTTGTAATAATGAAAAACAAGATAGGTAGATTAGTTTTTTGCCTGAATATCATTTAACTGAGTCTCTGAGGTAACAACAATAGGCTTCACATTGTCTTCTTTACGGAGAAGAATCCTCCCATTTGCTGTCCAGCAATGCTTGAAATTGTTTGTCTTAGCAAAGTCTCGCGCAAGATGGAACAATCTGCGTGCTCGCATTGTCAGATTTTCTGATATATATATCCATTGTTGTGGTTGGTCTGTTTCCAATATAGAAGAGTTTAGTCTTATATTTGTTTCTTGGCGGTTGTAATCTCGGAAAGCCTTGATGATTTTATTTTTCAGTATTATCGAGTTTAGATTCAAAATAATTGTTTTATTGACGGATTCTGTAGGAATGATACGAACATCATAGATATTCAACATGCTTACATCAATTGACAGCTCCTTAAAGATTTTCATTGAGATGGTGATTAAATGTTCCTGTGTGGGTTTTATTTTAATAGGTAAATTTCGAATTTCGATGGCACTTGATCGGAAATTTCGCTCAAATTCTTCTACACAGCCCTCTAATTTTATCAGCCGTTCGTCGCTTACTTTGGCTTTTTCCTGGAACCCGTTTAGTTGTAGACATAAATCGTCATATTTTAAAGCCAAAAATTCGATAGACTTTTCTATTTCTGAGTTTGATAAAATCAATTCTTTATTTTGTGTCTTGATATCATTCATGGAAGTTTGTAAGCTCGATAACTTATTGTTAGTCTCATCTCTCCAGGACGAGAGTGTTTGTATGAACGCGTCAAGTTTGGATTCCTCGGACGGCCCGCAATCGCACCGACGTCTTTTAACAGAGCGTATTACAATATCTTGTTCATTTGGTGCCTCGGAGACATTGCTAATGTTTAAATTAGGCGCGGATCCATACGTTGCATCTTGTTTTTTAGCCGGCGAGCGCATCATTTTTCTATAATATGACCGCGAGTTTTATAAGTAGGCCTAAATGTCCGTCGGCAAATTACTATCGCGGTAGGTTAAGCCGTTGGTTATGAGTCACGTCACAGTTAAGAAGGGGAAGCGAGAGGTAACCGCCGCTGCCAAAACTTGCTCCTGCGACGATGGGTGTGATGCGACACTGACCAATAGTGACTATCTATCGGTTGAGAGTAATTGTTATATCTTGGTAAGATAACAAGTAAAATATGATTGTCGCACTCACACTCGTATTGTCCTTGTCAGGCTGCGTTAAGAAGCACTCTTCCTAGTCACTGCACTCCTGGTAGTTTGAAGTTATTTATTCGGCATTTATTTTTATTTATTTTGCAATTATTATGAGAAAAAGCAAATATGACACGACTATTCAAACAGACATCCAAGGGGGAAGAGGATGTATGGGCAAGCTTGTCTCAATGCTCTACCATATCAGAGCGACATTAACGAAGATGGAACTTTTGACCCCGAAATCATGGAAGAACTTGAGACAAATGTCGTTGAAGACGATAATGAAGACCAGTTTGAAATTTACCAGCAGCCGGAAGACGACGATGAAGAGGAAGAAGATGATTAAAATTATAAATTGTAGTTTTTGTACCCTTTATTCCATTTTTTTACTTTTAATAAAAATAAATGTATTGAATGATATTTTTTAATAAAAAGATAAATTCATAATTTATTTGTTTTTTTTTTATCATGTAAGAAGTTATTAATATTAATTAGGTTTAAATTCAAATATAATTCCTATATTTTCATTAACAATTCTGCAATTACATGGGCAGGTAAGTATTGTTAAATAAATTAATACTGAATAAAAAGTGGATAGGTTAGGAAAAAATGATAAAATATAATATAATAGTTAATAAAAATTGACAAATATTTATAATCATTGATTTATCGATAGTTCATCAACTATATATGGCGCGTTTTTGACCGGAGGCACCGGTTGACCTGAAGTGATGCTGTGACCGCGCGCTCTCCGCCCTCTATCTCGAAAACGGTTCACCGTATGAAAAATTTTTTCAAACAAAATTTGTAGAGAATTTTGTATTCTACAATATTGATAATAAATACAAATAGCAAAAAACCCATAGGAAATGAGATATTTACAAAATAAGCGTAAAAAGACGATTTTTGTGACCTTTGACCTTGAAATTTAATAGTTGCGTACACCCTACCATATGTAGGTTTTGAGACAACTTTTAGGGTGTCAATATACAAGTATTTACAGACTTACAGCTGGGTATCTCGAATTCCGAGGTGAACTTACTATAATGACTGGACTATGGTACCACCACCATATGGGCTGAAATTCAACCTTTTTGCTTTTGTATTTTTCTGGTGCTTAAAGACATTTTATGTGGTTGTGCGTGTGTTTCAAAAGCATAGTAGTATGTGTAATGTTGTTTGAATTAACTTAATGTATTTCTACTGCATTATTATTTTTGAACAAAAGGATAGGTTTTCTGTACTGCACAAAGTTCATTTATTACGAAACATTTATTTCGTTTATTAATAAAATGCTAAACTGTTTCATCCATAATCAACTAAAAATCTGTATTTTTTTGCCGATGTCTAAAGATTATTAAAAAATGACAAAAGTCCAATTTATTCTCAATTTCAATAAAAACAATATTGTTCCTCCATTTGTTAAGACACCAACACCGACGCTCTCCCTGAGCGTCTCGGAAACAAATTGCCGAATAACTCAGTACAGTGACCACGCTTTTTTGTTTATCATAGGATTTATAATTTAAAAGAAGATCATCATTTATCAGATGTAAGACAAATGGGATAATGGTAATGCAGTTCCAAAATTTACGTCATATATTGAATAATAAAGTGTATTGAAAATTAAAGTCTATTTATTATATAAGACTATTTTGTCTTGTGACTACGCAGGTCACAAGATAAAATAGTCTTGTCACGAAGGAACTTAAAATCTATCAGACATTTGAAAAGTTTTGAGAAGGCTTCATCAAGTTAACGACTCTTTCTAATCTCTTTTTAATAAAAGTAGTAAAAATATTAGCGAAATAATTTTCCTTCTTTTGTCTGGTTCCGATTTATTAAGAATCGATGGAGTATTTCTCTACTCTTCTCTAACATTCGTCATAGTACTCTTTCTTCTCCTAGCCCTATTGCGCATCGAAGCATTCATGACCAAGTCTCCAAATAAGTATCAAACAATATTATAAATCTCCATGTGAGATCTCGAGATTTAAATATTAGGTATAACTTTGAAAAGCTCCTACGTTCGCCAACCTTGAGATTACGTCTTGCGTTAAAACGAGCTCAGGCAAGATTAACAACTTGCCTAATGTGATGGAAAATAATTCAATTTCACTCTTTCATAATCTTGGAATAAAAATATATTAAGTGGAATGTAGTGCGTATGTGCATACTGTTTCAGTGGACATTGTAGGTTAAAATGTTGGTGGTGTATCTTATTTTTCAATTGGTACGTACTTACTCATGTGGGTTTAACGTATGTTGATTGTAATGTACCTGATTGTGAAGACTTTCTATCATTTAGTTTTGCTGTTCAGTTTAAAGTTTTAAAGAGTCGTTTTAAAACGACAGCACTATACATATTGATCTTCTCATAAATTAACATTAGACGTCGTATGTTTTTTGTTCAATACAAAGCCCCAAAAATATTTTTGAAGTGAAACTTCTGTACGCACGCTTGACTTGGGAAGTAAGGTGGCTAACGCGTTTCGAAAAGTGTGATCGGGCGAGGTGAACGGGAGTTGAGTGGGGGGTATAAGCGAGAGAAAGCAGTGCGCATGCACGTTTTCTTTCTCTCTTTCTCTTATAGCTAGTAAATGAAATTTGTATATGTACATACATGTATATATTGTACACATATATATATACACACATCAAAAGTGTCTAGGGATCAAGCATTTTTATGCGGATTTCTTGAGATTGAGATGTGGCTTTGTAATAAATTTATGATTTTATAAATTTATATGGATCCTTTTTGGTGCATTTCATAATTTGAATCAGGAACTGTGAATCAAATTCGAGTAAAAGATGAAAATCAGCTGTCAATATTTTCCCTATAAAAACATACAACGCATTGAAGACATTATTAGTGCTACTGTTTCCCTACTACTGATTAAAACCAACGTTATTATGGAGCGGCGACGTCATTTAAGCAGGGAAGAAATGCTCAGAGCCGTGGGAATGATAGAAGCTGGTTCCCGGCAACGTACTGTGGCTTTAGCTCTGAATACAAGTCAGAGTGTTATCAGTCGACTTTGGACACGATACCGAAGCACTGGTACCGTGGCTGAGCGCCATGGAGGACGGTATCGCTGCACCACACGGAGACAAGACCGATACATTCAAATCTTAACTCGAAGAGCTCCAACAATAACCGCCATGATGTTAGCCGTGAGGCTTCATCACTCTTCAGGGAACTTAATTAGCGACCAAACAGTCAGAAACCGCTTGCATGAAGTGAACCTTCATTCCCGAAGACCGCTACGGGTACCACCTATAGCAATGCACAATCGTAGGATTCGATATCAATGGGCTCTTGAACACAGAAATTGGGCAGAAGAACAATGGCGTTTCGTGTGCTTTTCTGATGAGTCTCGTTTTGGTATGAGACCGGATACAAGACGTATACGACACTGGAGAACCCCTGGACGCCAACAGCGATTAAAATCCTGCCAGGAAGTCCATCCTTATAGTGGTGGAACCATCATGGTATGGGCGGGTATTTGGATCGGCGGAAGAACTGAGTTGATTTGGATCAGAGGCAACCTCAACGCTCAAATTTATGCTGAGACGATTGTATCAGACGTCATCGTTCCTCTACAAGTGCAAATCGGTCCCTTATTTCAGTTAATGCATGATAATGCACGACCGCACACCGCAAGAGTTGTAAGACAGACTCTCGCCGCAGCTAACATCAATGTCCTGCCCTGGCCTGCTCAGTCGCCAGACTTGAACCCGATTGAGCATGCATGGGATATGCTACAGAGAAGAGCTCTGCCGAATATGGAGGGTATCCAGTCGCAAGAAGACCTTTTTTTGTTGTTGCAACGAACATGGGCGGCCATTCCACAGCGTGATTTGGATGAACTCATTTTGAGTATGCCAAACCGATGTTCTTGTGTTGTTAGTGTTCGCGGTAGAAATACGGATTATTAATTGTTTAGGTTACCCAATAAAATTTTAGAGAAAACTGTTATTTCAGTCTTTTTTTCGAACTTTTGTGTTAGTGGTTCAAATGTCAAAAATCCCTTTATTAGGAAAATGGCAAATTTCTTTATTAATGCAAAGGTGACTTGGTTTATCGTTACTGTGACAAACGAAAACACTTTATTTGATGAATCCTTAAAGAAAATTTTAATTAATATCAATCAGGAGAAAAGTTATATAGTAAGAAGCAAAACCGTTTTCTTGGAAATAAAAATAAACTTTCAGAATATGTTACCAGAAATGTTCGTAAGCCATTATTGAATAGAAATCCGAGGAAAAGTATAGAATGCCTCAAATTGTAAGGGAATGTGTGATATAAATTACTTAATATATTATAAACGTATTCTAATAATTCTATAGATTAAGTTAGTAAGTACTGTAACTTTAAAATAGCACAAGCTGCGCCAGCACAGCTAAATGTAGAAAATTTACTGAGTATTTTGGTGACCGTTGTTACCTTCCTGGCCTTTTAAGGCACATATATCCTCAATTTAATTAATCTTCTCTTTTTCAACTATTGATAGTAACTTTTCCTGCATTTTCAATTGGAATTGTATGCGATTCCCAAAGAACGCTGATGCAATTGCAAACATATCTTAGAAAATAAAGGCAGTGAATAAATTAATTTACATCTATGTTAAAGACTTTATACTAAAAATGTTTGAAAACAATTAAAAACGGTGAAAAATCCTTAAAATCAGAAGTGTTTTTTTGTTTAATATAATTTATTAATCTGTTTGTAAAAGTCGAAGGGCCTAATATTTTATGAAACATTATTTTCTGCGCCAATGGATCGGTAAGCATCTCTGTGTAATTGAATCTCATACAATCAACAATCAAGCTGCGGGGTAAGGTAATTTTTTATCTTATTTTCACCCACCTGTCCGCCGTAATAATAATAAATGAATTAACATTTTTCGTCTGACGAATAATTTATATTGGGCAATGAAAAATGTAGTGCTACCAGATCCATCTTTCGATAATCAATCGTTCGAAAACTGATATGGATCGAGTGCTTCCAACGTGCGTCAATGTCCGAACAGGTTTGTTTTGAAAACTCTTTTGGATGATCCTGTTTGCGCTTGCCCTTTCGTTATCGCTACTCTATTACCCTTGACATAAGACTTGAATTAGCTTGTGCTTTAAATATAGTTCACTCCTTGTGTACAGAAGCTTTCACGCGTTAGCTTTTCATTCTATTTTTCTTTATGCTCATTTTAATTCATATATATGGTATGTTATGATTAATTAATACTTACACATACTGATTTGGGGAACGTCCTACGATAGGAATAATGAGTGACAAAGTGACAACGGGCTCTCTGTCTGTATTGAACTCTAAAGCCTGGGAAAGAATTAAATGGAATTGGAACAGTAGGAGTATGAAAGAAATATGAAAATATAGGGTGCCCTACTTGGCTAACCGTTTAGTTTAGAGCTGTAATTGTGCACTTGGCTGTTCCCGTAGTCGAATGTCGAACTGACGGGTTCTAATGGTGTAATCTCACTGAGGCGAGTTCAATCTTCAGCTAAGTAATCCTAGAAAACTATTTTTTCTTTTTGAACTGCATGTTTGTGAATCCTCTGATAATGGATTTCCATAACACACGTTTTCCGCTTCAGTTACTTTGGGATCAGTCCATATATTTATTTATCACATACTCACACTGAGTGATTTGGATCAGTCCGCTGTCTGGATCAAGGATTAGATAAACTGTGTATTTAAAATCGTCTCTATACTTATTCTGAGATATCATGTGCTGATTTACAAGGCAAAGAAACATCTTACGTCGCTGACACACGTCACGATGGAGACGTCTGCGCTGTGTCTCATCTGATTTCGGCATCTTTTTTAAACTGGAAACCTTTTGGCTTTTGGTCCTTTTGCAGGCTTTGTTTAGTCACACGCAACTCACTTGAGTGAATTTACTGTGTGCCTGTTTGTGTTGTGTCTTAGGTTTGGAGACTGATTAAAAAACATGACTGATTAAGGTTTACATGATATTGGACGTTTCCAGGCCCTTTGCAACTCCGGTGTCGAGTGGTTTCATTAAATTTTTAGGAGTACCGAAAATTTTGCGTTTAGACTGTTGTTCAGATTTAGAGAAATAGAGTTATCAATGTCTTAAAAAAGTTTTTATTATTATTGTATGCTACGCTTCGGTTTTAAATGTGTGCAATTATATTTGTGTTTTCTTCTAAACTCTACCCTCATACATAAAAAAAGAATCGCGGAAAAGTATGTACGCGATTATTCCGTACGACGGCACCAAATCCGATAATTGTTTTTTATTGTGTTTGTTATTGTCAGGTTTTTGTATAAGAAATTTTAAAATAAATCGATCAGTTTTTTTATGTTCATAATATTAAAATTATGTGAGTGAGTGGATGAGACAGAAGATTGGAACAGATCTTAAATTTACAAAATATTGCCAGCAGGCAATAGTGAAAAGTTTTCAGGAATCTGGTAACATTTATCGAAATAAATAATATACGGCGGTACGGAGTTTTCCGGGTCAGCTATTAATTAACAACACAACACAGCATAATAAAAAAATGTATCGGCCAAATCAATGAAACTGTTTTCAAGTGAGGTTCCCTCACACACGTGGCAAAAATTTATGTTTAAACATGTAAAAGGTAAAAGTTAAAATATGCATCAGGTGGCATAATACGTAATTTAAATTTTATTGCCAAAAATGTTAGGAGTTTGTAAATAGGGAGGTAAAACGCAGATGTTTGAAGTAAGTTATGATGAATTTCGCCATGAAGACGGTTGCAGCAAAGGCAAAAAATATTACTCTACTTAAATGGGTTATAAAACGCGTTTATTTTAATTTTACTTGATTTT